CAACAACAACAACAACAACAACAACAACAACAACAACAACAACAACAACAAACAAACAACAACAACAACAACAACAACAACAACAACAACAACAACAACAACAACAATTACTAGCACGTGGGGGCACTCCGTTCTCACCAGTGCCAGGGTTTTCATAGGAGGCGGGCAATACCCCCACTTTGTGGGGGGGCCGGTTCAAGCTTTACCAAATTTCCAAACGACTCTTCGCCACCACCCACACCCAGCTTCCCGCCCTATGACGTTCGGACACTTCACTTCGTGGCATGGGACGACCGTGGCTACTATTCAGGGCCCCGCGGCCGACGACGACGGCGTGCGCGCGCGAAGAAAAAACGAATGTGTCCCGCATGGTATTATTTGACAGGGATGATGGCCCTAGCAGGTGCGCAACCGTTGTTGCAGAAGTTCGAAAAAGTTGCTCGCAAAAGCCCGTTTGACAGAAATGTTTAAAAAGTGTTGGGTTTCCTACGAATCCGCAAGAGCGCGCGGGATGACATTTTCATAATTTTTGTTTGAAAAACCATTGTTTTTTGATGCTTTTATGTTAAAATCGCTACGAAAACTAAGGTTTTGGAAGGATTTCGTCTTGCGCGCGCGAATGTCCACTTTACCTTATTTGTTGCAAGGGATTCTTGAAGTTTGGTTATATTAGAACAAGAAATGTCCACTTTAGCTTATTTTTTGCAAGGGAAAACCGATCGTAACAACACAACCGGATCTGGTACACATCGTTTTACCTGAGACTCCCTCACGAAAATGATGAAAACGTGGCTGCGGCCTAGGCGCGGCGGGGGGGCCGCGCACCAGGGGTCCCAACAATAATTATTCTTAAGAAGAACTAATGTTCAACAAAATGAGCACCAAGAGCGCCGCCAGGAGCGCCCCGAGGGGCCCGCAGCCTCCCTTCCCAGCCGCCCGCCCCCCCTCCGGGGACCCCCAAAGCCCCAGGGGCCCCCCGGGAGGCCCAGATCACGCCCCAGGAAGCGCCCACGAGGCCCCCGATAAACCCTCCGATGTTCCCTCGAAGCGTCCCCAAGAGACGTCCGCGAGGTCTCACGAGAGATGCACACAGGCATCCAAGAGGTCTCAGACCCGAAGGCCACAATATCCGCCCCCCCCTGTCGATTCATCGCAGGGGTGCCTCGCGTGCTAGACCCTTTCGGTTTTGGTTTTGGCTCTTTTTCCAAAAAAGCATTTATGGGGCTTCGGCGCGTCCCGCCGGGGTGCCCGCACCGGGCCTCCGGGACCTCAATCCCGCAAAACATCCTCCAAGACGGCGCAATATAGCCTCCAAGATGGCCATGCTGGCCAAAGATGGCCTCCAACATGGTCCAAGATGGCCTCCAAGTTCGTCCAAGATGGTCCAAGACGGCATCCAAGACGGTCCAAGAGAGTCCAAGACGGCCCAAGACGGGCCAAGAGGCCCCCCAGAGGCCTCCAAGACGGCCCAAGAGGCCTCCAAGAGGTCCTCCACGAGGGCCCGAAGAGGCCGAAATCATCAATTGTCCTTGGATTTTTGAAGAAATTTGGCATTCGCTTCTTCTCGGCTTTCCGACGACCCAAGACTGCCCAAGAGGCCCCCAAGATCGCCCTCACAGCGCCCAAGAGGCCTCCAAGATGGCCTCAGGACTGCCCAAGAGGCCCCCAAGACGGGCCCAAGAGGGCACAAAGACGACTCAAGAGCCCTCCAAGACGCCCAAGATGGCCTCTAAGACGGCCCTGAAGCACCCCAAGAGGGCCCCAAATCGGCCCAGAAAGGCCCCCCAAACGGCTTCCGACGGCGTGAACGGGCCAGGAACCCGCCAAGATGGCCGAAGTTGGCTCGAAGCTGGCCCAAGACGGCCCAAGACGGCCCAAGAGGCCTCCAAGTGGGCCTCCAGGAAGGCCATACAAGGCAACAAACACTGATTTTCCTCAGGTTTTGGATGGACTTGACATTTGCCTCGGTTCTGCCCCAAGAGGCTTCCAAGATGGCCCCAGAACGGCCCAAGAGGCCCCCAAGACGTCCCCAAGAGGCCCCCAAGACGGCCCAGGAGGCTTTGAAGACGCCCAAGATGCCCTCCAAGACGGCCCTGGAGCATTCCAAGAGGGCCCCAAGTCGGCTCAGAGAGGCCCCCCAAACGGCTTCCGACGGCGTCGGACGGGCCAGGGGCCCAACAAGACGGCCGAAGATGGCACTAAGATGGCCCAAGACGCCCCAAGAGGCCTCCAAGAGGGCCTCCAGGAAGGCCCGAAAAGGTCAAAATGATTGATTTCCTATGAGTTGTTACAGGATTGTGGCCTTTGCTTTTTTTCGGCCTTCCGACGGCCTTCCGACGGCCCAATTGCCCAAAAAGATCGCCCAAGAGGCCCAAGACGGCCCCAAAAGGCCCCCAAGACGGCCCAGGAGGCCTCCAAAACGCTCAAGATGGCCTCCAAGATGGCCCAAGAGCCATCCAAGACGTCCTCCAAGAAGGCCCGAAAGGGTCAAAATGTCCTCCAGGCGGCCAAGATGACCTTCAAGATGCCCACGTGTTCCCCGAAACCTTTCCAAACCGACTCGGGGAACACATGGCCCGATAGCTTGGCCGGTCTGGCCTCAACTTTCCGCCACATAGGTGTTTCCAAAAAGGCAGGGGGCGGCAGTGATTCGCCGTAGGCGTCTTCGATATTCGTACTTGACCTTCCCCTGCTGGACGTGGATGTTGACCTCGATGACCTTGCCATTACGAATCGGAACGAAGACTGGTCGGTCTTGGTCCTTGTTCTTCTTCGAGATCATGGAGAGGAGCTCGCAGCCCACCTCGCAACCAGAGTTAGAGTCGCGCACCAGGTCGTCATCGATTTCGATGCCCGTCTCTTGCTCGAACTCCTTCTCTGCGAGGAGATTTTTCTCCAGCACCTGCGCCTCCCAAGCTGGCGTGTAATGCGGACGCATCGCTATGGGCGCCTCGAGCAGCGGCAACGCCCCAAGCACATTGGCCTTGATGCCATCCCCGTCGAGGTCGTTCACATCGAATTGGGCTTTGCTCAGGTACTTCTTATCAGCCGCGAAGGCCTCAATCCAACCTGGTTGGATCTCGCCCGTCATCTCCATCGACTTGGCAGCGACCATCGTGCTCGCACTGAGGCCAGCATACACAGGTCCGTTTGCACGCACCGCGTTCACGAGGCGTGACGCAACCGCCTGGTTGCACTGCCACGCCATGTTGAGCATCACGACTTCCCCACCCTGCCCGACGATGATGTCGGCCGTATCGATGTTTTCAGTGCACCACTTGTCGAGTGCGGCAGCGTACTTCTCGTTCAGCCTGGTGGAAATCTCAGCCAACTCATCGGCACAGTTTTTCCCCGAGGACGGGCAGCCTGGGAGTGATCCGCCCGCCTGGCCTGCACCCTCCTTGGGCGGGGTCTCCTTCAGCGCATTGTACGCGTCCTGGGTCAATTGGAGCGCTGCGAAGTACGCTTTCTCGTCCTCAGGGTCGAGCTCGGCTACATTGGGGCTTGAAGCTTCGCAGTTGGCCAGGCGGCCGGGCCGGTTGAAGAGCCAGGGCTTCTCCAGGAGCTGGATCATCTGGATGTTGCTCTGCGGCACACCCATCTTGTCCTCCAGGCCCTGGTCCCACCAGAACCATGTGCCCTCCCCGCGCCCAAGGAATCCGTTCTCGCCCACCTTGCCATCCCCCATGCGGCCCTTAGCCATGTTCTCAGGCGGGCGGTGGTACGAGGCATCATTGATGTACAACACCTTAAGCTTCTGGATCTCGCTGGCGTACTTCTTCGCCAACCCCTCCCGGGTCACTCCAGGGCCCGCGTCCTCTCGGTCAAGCACGCCGCGCCTCTGGAGAACGACCTGAATGAAGCGCGCCCACTGGGTCTCCGTCACGAAACCGGTCGACGTGAGGTAGACGACGGGGCTGAGGGGAATGCTCCTGCCCCCCACTGCCTCCATGAGTTTCTTCTTCTGGCTCTTGCTGAGTTCGGCGGTGGCATGGGTCAGCTCAGCTTTCGTCGCTGCATCGACCGCGGCTTTCACACCTTTCGCAGTAGAGGCACCACCGCCCATGGCAGCAGACAGAAACGGTGGCAGGGGGGGAATGCCCGTCAGGTTGATCGAATGCGTTCCCAGCGCCAGCAGAATAAAACTTGAGCCCCGCACACCCGAGACAAAGATGGCACAATGATTCTGATGAGGATCAGCTGGCCCATTTGGGGCGCCGGCTTTTGATGTTTGCTGGACTGCCCTCGTGGTGATGTAGACTGCCTTTGTTGTTGTTGTTGTTGTTGTTGTTGTTGTTGTTGTTGTTGTTGTTGTTGTGTTTGTTATCTCTCTTTCTCTCTCTGCATAGGTGCACAGATGTGTAGATAAGAGAGAGCGTGATCCACCGCCGCTTTACTGTGGAAAATTGCCGCCCTGTTCCTCCGGGGCCCGGGCCCCCCCTCCCCCACCCTTCTGGATCCCCCCACCCCTTCCCCCGCAAAACCCCCCCCCCCCTAACCCCCCCCCCCCCCCTCGAACTCGAAAACCGGGGGGGGTCACTACCTGGTTCGAACCCCCCCCCCCCCTCGAAAACCGAGGGGGGGGTCACTACCGGTTCGAACCACTGAGCTGTCCCACTGTTCCCACCACTGTCCCCACTGTCCCCACCACTGTCCCCACTGTACCTCTGTCCCATTGTCCCACCGCCGTCCTCGCCACCGCCTTCACCACTGTCCCCACCACCACTGCACCCTCCACTGTCCTACTGTTTCCACCACGTTCCCACTGTCCCCACACCACTGTCCCCACCACCACCGTCCCCACCACTGTCCCACTGCCCCCACTATTCCCACCATTGTCCTCGCCATTGCCCCCACCACTACCGTCCCCACCGCTGTCCCACTGTTCACCATCGGCACCCCCTCGAGGGGGAAACGGTGGATTTGTTTTGAAGAATTTCTGTTTCCTCTGAACATATATCGATGCGATCGCAGTGCCTGATTGCGCGACCTGACAAGCTGGAGCGTCGACCTAGCCAATGCAATCTCAATGTGCCGACGGCCCGGAACCGGCAAATGCCCGCACCTGGGCGCCTGATCTCGGAGCTGAGTTCGCTTTTCAGATTTCCTGAATTCACCCGCCGCTCGGCCCCCGCCGAGTTCGAACGGCGGGGCTCCTGGGGTCTGTTGCGCCGCGACGGCAACGGCGTTGTCCAGCCAAAGCTTCGACGTCATTCGCTCACGCATCATAAGCTGAACGGGTCAGCGGGGCCAAGTCGCGAATGTGGCAACCCCGCAGGAATGGCCGACGCCCATAAGACTGCCGACGCGCTTAAGAGAAGTACCAAGCACGGGAACGACGAAATGCGGTCGTTTGGGGGCTTACAAAAGCGCTCAGGGCTGCAACAAAGCCGACAGCTGCGCGAGGGCCCCGACGCCACCATTTGTGACAGCGGCGCGTCGTTAAGTTTGCGGGCGCGCAGTTCGCGGCACGCGCGATGCAAGAGCCAACAACTGCACGCTACCTCCGAGCAAACAGCGCTCGCTGACAACGAGCTGCGGAGAGTGTTCCCTGGCCCCGCCAGACACGACGCCATGGTGCTAGATGAAGTACAACATATCTGCAGTTCGTTCTGCTTGCAAGGCCACGCATTTATGTTGCGATAGCGTTTGCAAACATGCCCCACGCATTGATTTGACATCTGATCGAAGCGTTTCCCGCGCGCCGGCGCTCTTTATACGTATTCGATGCGCACTTGAGTGCCAGTTTTCAGAATTTCAACTCGAACTGCCTTAAACTATTCGGGGCATTTGCTGCCCGCCGATGACGGTTCTAAACTGATCAAGGGCACCTTCGGCGCGCAAGTTTTTCTGTAAACTCCGAACCATACGTCGGGACACAGCTGACCGAGCCCGCCACCGCCAGAGGCGAGGCAATAACACTAGGATACCCTGATGCTGCTTTCAAGCGCGGTCAACATCGACCCAATGCTGAATCAAAATCCAATCACAAATCCTGGCATCATCCTCGTTGCGTCGTCGTCGTCCTCCTCCTCTTCCTCCTCCTCCCCTTCCCCTCCCACTGCGGATGGCCGGCGCCCTTCCACTCGAAAGAAGCCCCAGTGGGGCCTCCTGGAGCCTCCTGGGGCCTCCTTGGGCCTCTTCGGGCCTCCGGGCGCATCCTGGGGCCTCCTGGTGCATCCTGGGGCCTCCGCGGGCCCCCTGGGGCGTCCTGGAGCTTCGTGGGGTTTCCTGGAACTTTCTGGGGCCCCCTGGGGCCTCGTCGGGTTCCTGGGTCCTGGAACCTCCTGGGGCCTCTTGGGGCCTCCTCGGGTTTCATGGGGCCTCCTGGGGCCTCTTGGGGCCTCCTTTTGGGGGTCATCGGGCAAAAAAACCACTGGCCGACGGCCCCGTCGAAAAACCGCCCGGGCCCGTCGAAAAACTTGGCGGCCCTTTTTGTTGGGCCCCGTCGAAAAACTGTGCGGCCTTTTTTCGGGACCCCGTCGAAAACTTTGGGTTGGTGGAACACGCACCTGGTATAAAAAACCTGGGTTGTTTTTTCCCCCGGGGCCACGCATACCTGTCAAATTACAACGAAAACAACGACGGGAATTTCCCGACGAGTTTTTATACCCCTCAGTTGGGCCACGTCGCAAGAGAAGGCCACGAGGGTCCCCGAGAAACCCCAGAGAACATCGAGAAAGAAAAAGGGGAGGAGGTGGAGGTGGAGGAGGACAGGGGAAGCACTGAAAATGGAGGGGGGAGGGGAAGAAGTGGAGGAGAAAGGGAGGGAGTGGAGGTGGAGGAGGAAACGGAGGAAGTGGAAGCGGGGGTGTAGGCTGCGGACGGCCGCCCCCTGTCCGTCTGTACTCTTGCACTGCTCAGCCTCAGGCCAGAACCAGAAATGACGGGGCCGAGCAGTCTTACAGAGTCCCTGGGTGCGTGGTCGGGCGCCCCCGCGTTCTTATCCGCAACTGGGGGGACGGGGTGTTGAAGCTATTCCGTCGCCGTCGCCGTCGCTATTCTGGCAGCGCCCCCCTTCGGAAAGCTTTTGAATCGTGGGCATGGAACAAGTCCCACATCCCGGCGAGACTTGATATCTCCTAGGCCGTGTCCCCAAACCTAGTAGGAAGACGCATACGTGGTTGTCTTGTGAACTCACGTCATCCTGACCCCTGGCAGCGGCAGCGTGTGGGAACAGAGGGGTGTCTTCCAACGCGGCCTAGCTCCACGCGGAACACGGGCGAGCCTAGCTCGCCTGGCACACCCGGCCAAGCGGACCTTCGCGAAGCCAGGCCGCCGTGGAACGCGCCCCACCGTCCCCACAGGCTGCCGACTCTCGGCGATGGGGGGGTCCGATGATGATCATGATCTCGATGACTCCGAAAACGACGATGATGACGATCATGTTGTATTATTATTACTATTATTATATCTATATGGCACATCGGCCAAAAGACGATAGCACACAGCCCACGACCGCCCCAACAAAAACGACAAACACACACACACACACACACGCACAAACAACACATTGGAAATGTAAAATATCGTTCACCCTGAAAGCAGAAGCTCGGGCGCGGGAACACACGCGAATGCGATGCCGTTGCCGGCCACAAGCTAAGAGTGGGCGGCACGCTTGCGCACGCTTGCAGCCCGCAGACGGCCCCGAAACAAAACGCGCTAGAAATCGCAAGCCGAATGCTCGCCGAAACGCGCCGCTTTGTCCTCGGGGCACGTCGCGCCACTCATAAAACAGTAGCGCAAGAAGAGGCGGCACGCGCGACGGACACATAAACGTGGCCGTCGAAAAATAACGCCTAAAACAAATGGCGCCCCGAAAACTCGGACCCTGCAGTGAGCAGACAGCGAAGGCCATCGGTGCCCCCTGGCTTGGGCACGCACGCGACGCACAAACGAAAGCCTCAATTGCCAAAACCAATTGAACAAAACATATCGCACGGTTTCGCGTTCGACATGGCCGAATGCGCCAAGAAGGCGACCCGAGATCGCCCCGAGGACTTTGACCATCGGCCGCAGACCGCGCTAAAGGCGGACCCCGCCACGCCGTGCCTAGCTCGCGCAGTCTGCGGCGGGAGCGACCCTTGCAGCGCGGACGCTGCGGCGTCTAACGCG